AGTCTTTACTATTATTCTTGTTCACTTGAAGTCTGGTGTTCTTGAGTGCCTGAATATTTCATCTGGGTTAATTTTTTATATATCTTGCGAGAGAGATTGCTCGATAAAATTATTTTGCTGTAGGTTTACAATAAATAATGCTGGCTGTTCTGAAAGATAATGTCTTTGGGTTTGAGTTTTCATTTTGACAAAACAGTCGTATGTCTTGAAGCAGTGACTGAAAAAAATATACTGTCAGAATCAAGATACCCCTCTCCAACAAGAAGGTCCCCCTGCTCTAATAATGGCCCCACCCAAATCACCCACTCTAATAATAACCTCAACCTAACCACCCGCTTTAATAATAGTCTCATCCAACCACACACTCTAATAATAGCCTCACCCAAACCACTCGCTCTAATAATAGCCTCACCCAAACCACCCGCTGTAATAATAGCCTCACCCGAACCACCTGCCCAATAATGACTTCACCAGACCACACCCAATCACCAAGAAACCAGGTTACGTTCAGTACTGTTAATGTTTCATCAACAAATGTAATTTCTTAATGCTGCAAGTCTTTGTTACCAGAACCAAAAAAAAAAATGATAGACATTTTTGCCCATGCAGATGTGGAATTGCATTTATGTGCTGCTGAAGGATAGTGTCAATAAAGGCCGTTTTTTTCTCAACAAACTTCATTCTTTCCAATAATTTGAAAACTGTTTAAATGGGATTGAACATGGTAGAGGGAGACATTCCATTTTAGTGTGGTGACCTTTAAGTCATGCTGAAAATGAGTGTTGAAGTGGTCTGATGGATTTTGTGTTTGGACACTGTGACATATAGATAATGATTTTTAACTCAAGTTAGGAGATTTGTCTGCCAGTAGCCATATAGCACCAGCCACCATGATAGTCTGACAGCATATTTGACACCTAACAACTGAATGTTCTTGACTGATCAAATCTTCTTCCTGTTAAAAAAATGTCATTTACTCAATGTGTCTTCTGATAACATTTTCACCCCAATTCATGCTTAGGACCTCTATTAAAATATTTGTTGCAGTTAGGGCATGAGCGGCTGAGTTATCTGAGGTGCCACAGCTCGCTCTGCAGAGTTGTGTCCCTTCAGTACACCAGGAAGTGTTCAAAGCAAAAACAATGATTGGATGATGACATCATCAAGGTTTAAGTGTACTCTGTAAGGAATGGATTTGAAGGAAAGTTTCAGAAAGATGTAACAAATAAAAGAAGAATCTGTTTTCACAACACCCACCATTTGAGAAGCTCATGTCTAGGCTGAACCTGCCCCAATTCAGTATGGGGTGGGGGAAGAACTGGCCATGCATGTTTCACAAAGCAAAGATATTGATAAGATGGTCGTAACTTGCAAAAACTCACAATAGCCTTAAGACAGTGGCCATGCATGTTTCACAAAGGAAAGATATTGATAAGATGGTTTAACTCGCAAAAACTCACAATAGCCTTAAGACAGTGGCCATGATTTTTTCCAAAGCAAAGATATTGATAAGATGGTTGTAACTCGCAAACTTACGATAGCCTTAAGACAGTGGCCATGATTTGTTCCAAAGCAAAGATATTGATAAGATGGTTGTAACTCGCAAACTTCGTAACGATAGCCTTAAGACAGTGGCCATGCCTGTTTCACAAAGCAAAGATATTGATAAGATGGTCGTAACTGGCAAACTTATGATAGCCTTAAGACAGTGGCCATGATTTTTTCCAAAGTAAAGATATTGATAAGATGGTTGTAACTCGCAAACTTACGATAGCCTTAAGACAGTGGCCATGATTTTTTCCAAAGTAAAGATATTGATAAGATGGTTGTAACTCGCAAACTTACGATAGCCTTAAGACAGTGGCCATGCCTGTTTCACAAAGCAAAGATATTGATAAGATGGTCGTAACTGGCAAACTTATGATAGCCTTAAGACAGTGGCCATGATTTTTTCCAAAGCAAAGATATTGATAAGATGGTCGTAACTGGCAAACTTATGATAGCCTGAAGACAGTGGCCATGATTTTTTCCAAAGCAAAGATATTGATAAGATGGTTGTAACTCGCAAACTTACGATAGCCTGAAGACAGTGGCCATGATTTTTTCCAAAGTAAAGATATTGATAAGATGGTCGTAACTAGGAAACTTATGATAGTCTTTAGACAGTGGAAGCACTAAGGTTGTTTTGTGGAATGGTGGCTGGGTGGGAGAGGTTTCAGCCTGGGCCTGATTATTGGTGTGTTACCCCCTGCTCATCAGTGTCACAAAGCAGACAGAGAGACCTGCATCACTTCAAGCTGCCTCTCTCCCTGTGACATAACTGAATACACTGAAAGACTTTTCGAAGTAGCATAATCTCAACACAGTCGCTCTGATAACTCTTGAAGCTTTCAGCCCTATCTAACATCCCCAACAAGCACTGTCAAGATAGACAATCGATATACGTTAATGACTTGTGAATGTTGCGATATCATGCCAACGGAGGATCGGTCCTCGGTTACATGAGTGACCATTACCCCCTGGATGGTTATATCACAGCCATGTTACAGCAATATTCACTGACTCGTTACTTAGCAGGCATCCTCTACAGTAGATAGTTCCGGAGGAAGCAGGATTTCATGGGTGTACACTCCGAAATGTGTTGTATATATGAATATTTAGATGGTTAGGGAATTAGTCAAGATTGATTTTGTGTGGAGGATCGGAGTTTGATACTGAGCAGTATGTCCGTGCTTGTAAATGATGTTTGGAATGATTGTTCAGAAGATAAGTAGAATTACACAAGCAGCATGTAGCCATTAGTGAGGTGTCTCATGTATTGAAATTACTGTAGCTTGTTTTTCATCATCGGAGTTGAAACATGAAAAGATTTCAGATTAGTGCCAAGCTACTTATAGAAAGCTAATGTATAGTGAACAGCTGTAGTGAAGTTTGGATGGTTTAGGTGTTTTTGTGTTAAGTGCAAGGTGTATTCCGATCTGATACTAAATTAATAAATGTAGAAATTGTCATAATGTGTGACATGGATCTCTGTTTTGATTGAAAATAAAGCAAATGTTTATTAATGTCATGTTGAGATCAGTGTTATTATCAGCTAACCAGACTGAAAGGCAAGTAAACAAGTATACAACAGCCTCTGTGTTGTGCATTGCGATCCTACCACTAAGGTACCTGAACATGGACGTACAACATTCTTACAAAGTTTGGTTGTACGTCATGCATTGTATAGTCTGTTTGCAGTGAAAATGTACTGATGAATTTCACTTTAAACAAAAAAGTAAATCGAATAAAGTGGTGATTGCAAATCCTCATAATTTTACCTTGCCAGTTGAACATTTAAATCTAAGAAGTTTATTCAACCTAAGATAAAAATTGATCATGATCATAGTTTCAAATCGCTGTTATTGGTTTGTATTACAGGGGGGTATACACATTAAATGAAACACCGAGAAAAAGTAGGGTTGGTCTAAGTTAACGCTCATCACGAACCGCGCGTGCATTTGTTTCACTGTTCCAACTACTGCGCTTATCCCCTTGTAAGACAAACCAGTAATAGCGATTCGAATCTATGATCGTTTGTTAAACAACTTTTATCTTAAGATGAATAAAATTCTGAGATTTAAATGTTCAATTGGCAAGGTAAAATTATGAGCATTCGCAATTTTAATTTCACGTTATTTGATTTACTTTTTTTGTTTAAATTGAAATTCATCGGTATGTTTTCACTGCAAACAGAATATAATCGTGACTTCAATTGACATCTTCTCAGAAACTCTGGACCAATACAGGTGAAAGTTGTCATGTTATAATTCTTGTCAATGATAGCACATGAATTTGTACAAGAGGTTCCAATCAGTCTGTTGTCATGGACATCTGTGTCTATCTCATACTACCTGTTGCTAAGGGGCAGATTATCTTATATTGGAAGGAGGAGTGTGTGTGGATGTCTTCAAGGAAAGAACAAAAATAATAACCTTTCTGGATAAGTACTAGTTTGAAATTAGTTTTACTTCCCAAATGTGTTAATTGGATATACTAGATGTTCTGCAATTACTGTGTTGTGGGTAGTAATTGTTTGATTTTTCCTTTCAGAGAAAATGTAGGGTGATGGAAAACAATACCATGTCTGGAACAAACTATTAACTGGTGTTTTTTAAAGAGTCTTATTGGTTGTGTTTGTTCTGTTGCAGGTTCTCTATATTGTCTTGAGTCTAACACTCATCTCCTATTGCTACTGAGGTGAATGTCCCCACCTATAGACTGTGATCCTTCTGTTGCAGGTTCTCTATATTGTCTTGAGTCTAACACTCATCTCCTATTGCTACTGAGGTGAATGTTCCTACCTATAGACTGTGATCCTTCTGTTGCAGGTTCTCTATATTGTCTTGAGTCTAACACTCATCTCCTATTGCTACTGAGGTGAATGTCCCCACCTATAGACTGTGATCGTTCTGTTGCAGGTTCTCTATATTGTCTTGAGTCTAACACTCATCTCCTATTGCTACTGAGGTGAATGTCCCCACCTATAGACTGTGATCCTTCTGTTGCAGGTTCTCTATATTGTCTTGAGTCTAACACTCATCTCCTATTGCTACTGAGGTGAATGTTCCTACCTATAGACTGTGATCCTTCTGTTGCAGGTTCTCTATATTGTCTTGAGTCTAACACTCATCTCCTATTGCTACTGAGGTGAATGTCCCCACCTATAGACTGTGATCGTTCTGTTGCAGGTTCTCTATATTGTCTTGAGTCTAACACTCATCTCCTATTGCTACTGAGGTGAATGTCCCCACCTATAGACTGTGATCGTTCTGTTGCAGGTTCTCTATATTGTCTTGAGTCTAACACTCATCTCCTATTGCTACTGAGGTGAATGTTCCTACCTATAGACTGTGATCGTTCTGTTGCAGGTTCTTCATATTGTCTTGAGTCTAACACTCATCTCCTATTGCTACTGAGGGGAATGTTCCCACCTATAGACTGTGATCGTTCTGTTGCAGGTACCTCATACTGGAGCATGTTTCTGGTGGGGAATTATTTGACTACCTCGTCAAGAAGGGCAGATTAACACCAAAAGAAGCTCGGCGCGATTCTTCCGACAAATAATCTCCGCCCTTGACTTCTGCCATAGTCACAACATCTGGTAGGTATTGAGAGGGAAGCTTGTGTTTTTTCAGAAATTCTCTGACTACTGTTTGGGGTAGACAGTAGACCAGGGCTTAGTCTCTGAATATGTATAATTTTTATTGTAACAAATAAACCCATTTAAATTGAAAAAGACCCCAGGGAGACCAGAGATTCAGAACCTTGAGAAATCTAACTTGCTTCATTTAGGGCTTTAGCATTGCAGGGAGGCCTAGGCTGTCTTGAAAATAATGTGGTTCAGGGACTGTGAGGCAGACTACATTGCAGGGAGGCCTAGGCTGTCTTGAAAATAATGTGGTTCAGGGACTGTGAGACTGACTACATTGCAGGGAGGCCTAGGCTGTCTTGAAAATACTGTGGTTCAGGGACTGTGAGACAGACTACATTCCAGGGAGGCCTAGGCTGTCTTGAAAATACTGTGGTTCAGGGACTGTGAGACAGACTACATTGCAGGGAACCCTAGGCTGTCTTGAAAATACTGTGGTTCAGGGACTGTGAGACAGACTACATTGCAGGGGTTGTCTTGAGGCCTACATTGGGAGGCCTGTCTTGAAAATACTGTGGTTCAGGGACTGTGAGACAGACTACATTGCAGGGAGGCCTAGGCTGTCTTGAAAATACTGTGGTTCAGGGACTGTGAGACAGACTACATTGCAGGGAGGCCTGGTTCAGGGACTGTGAGACAGACTACATTGCAGGGAGGCCTAGGCTGTCTTGAAAATACTGTGGTTCAGGGACTGTGAGACAGACTACATTGCAGGGAACCCTAGGCTGTCTTGAAAATACTGTGGTTCAGGGACTGTGAGACAGACTACATTGCAGGGAGGCCTAGGCTGTCTTGAAAATACTGTGGTTCAGGGACTGTGAGACAGACTACATTGCAGGGAGGCCTAGGTTGTCTTGAAAATACTGTGGTTCAGGGACTGTGAGACAGACTACATTGCAGGGAGGCCTAGGCTGTCTTGAAAATACTGTGGTTCAGGGACTGTGAGACAGACTACATTGCAGGGAGGCCTAGGTTGTCTTGAAAATACTGTGGTTCAGGGACTGTGAGACAGTTAGGTAGATAGGGTTAAAGCATTTCATGTTTCGGGGTGAAACTAACATGGAACAGATCATGATAAGTTTGAAGAATTTAGCTAGTTTACTTTGTTGACTGTGATAGCCATGACCTCGACGCCATTTCACAAAGCGATCCTTGATATTCGCAAGAGGAATATGTCATTTTGTTATTGTCTGTTATAAGTTTGACTGTTTACCCTTTGTATTGAGAGGTAAAATTCAAGGGGTTTTTTTCCATATGGCCTTCCTCCTACCTCAAATACATTACATAAGAGACAGAGCCATATTATTGTAGTCTGCACACCTGTACGCCTGTTCACCTGTACACCTGTTCACCTGTATACTTGCACACATGTGTGAAAGAGCATATGGCGTTGTCTGTAGTTAATCAACGAGTGGGAACACACAGACACTTGCTATTGTACATCACGTACATCTAACACACACATACTCCTGTCAGTCATGTAACAGCCATTAAATACTCAGGGGACATGTACAAGTGTTGGATGACAGCATCTGTTGTACGTCTTGTCAAGGATGACATGACATTCCCTAGTGGGCTACCACAAATACCATTAGCTGAATGGCAGCTTTGCAGCTGATCAAGTTTGCTGACAAGTGAAAAAGGAAATGAATTTCAAACCCTCTGTGATAGTGATTTATGTCAAGACTGCCATGTTGTCTTGAAAATAAATCCAAGTGTGAATTATCTGAAGACAATTCAGCTGTAAAACTGTGCATTTTTTCTCTGAAAAACGGTCAGTTGCATACTACTTTTTAGTTCCTACTGTATTATTAGCAGGAAACGAGATGAAAAATATGCTATATTCCAATCAAAACTGTATCATTTTCACTAAAAATCATTTTCACTAAAGATGATTGATCAAAATTTTTCTCAACATTTTCCAGAATGAGACACTGAACTCACTGTCCCTGTCCTAGTTTGTTTGCTAAAGTGAATTCCCTCAGTAGCTCAGTAACAATCCAACTAAGATGTGTCTTTGTAGCTTAGTGCTCATTAGTGTTGAGAATTGGTTGAAATCTCACAATTGATGATTGTTTCATTACCAACGAACAATCATCGAAAAAAATTGGTTAGCGTCATTTTTCAGATTTTCCTATCCAGGTTGTTATTGCAGATATTTATAACATGATGCAACTTGCTACTTTAAAGTGATGACTAATATATCATGAACATAAACTTCCTGGAGTCTTCAAGAAATATTCAGTCATGGTTTTTCAGTTAGTGAAGTGAGTTTTCTAAGAACTAAACACGTTTTCATGCTCTGACAACTTCAACGATATGTTCCATTGTCAAGTATTTCAAAGACTAAACTAGTAGTTCCAAAATCATTTATGTTGAGAAAATGTGATCGATTGCTTGGTCGTTTGGTCACTGCGATCAATCTTCGATTATTTCAATTAATCGGAACACCACTAGTGCTCATGTGTGATAGACCAGTGGCCTTTCTACTAGCCCACCTCCATGACCACGTGGGTACACCGTCCGACAATGTGGCAGCTCGATGGTTTGATCCCCTGGCCATGTCGTACCAAATGACGTTAAAATATGGTACTTTTTGTTTCCTGGCCTGGCACTCAGCTTTAGAGGGATAAGACCAGGACTGGTCTGCTCAGAGTTAGTTTACTGTATTTGAGTGTCTGTCTTAAACTAAGGGATGGTATCTCGGTATGCCAGCTCTATAAGACCTTCATTTGTCTGGACTATAACAGTGTGTGAGTGAGTTTAGTTTTACCCAACTTTTAGCAATATTCTAGCAATATCACCACGTAGGAGTCGTAAATAATAGGCTTCACACATACCCATATGGAGAAACAAAACCTGGTCTTTGTGAAGATGAACGAACGCTTTAACCACTAGGCTACCCCACTGTCCCTGGACTTTTAACAAGCATCCACACACACATGGTCACGCAAGCATGCACACAAAGGGCACACATGCACATTGTTATGTAAGTGCAATAATCATCATTGCAAAGACACCCTTTCACCTCCCCTTACCTTACCTTCCTGCCATCTCTGTCTTAAGGAAGTACTTACCTTAACGTGTTCAGATTTAAATTCAAGTGTTTTTAGGTTGAAACTCTACATTCTACTTAAAGGCTCTTAAAACTAATAGACTTAATCATAGCCCATTGAAGTTTGTCGTATGTAACAGATGCTGGGTCCAAAATAAACGAATTCATGGCTCAGGTTGGAATATGCCTGGCCTGCATGTTGCCCTTGGCAGGTCTGATTACCCCATCTCTCAGGAACTAGTTTATCACGGCTGCATGTAGACATATACTTAAGCTACTCTTGCAAATGTTATAAGTAAAATTTAAGAGGAAAGGGCCTGTTTTCTGCCAAGTGGAAATATCAAATGGGGATGTTTAAGTAATCGTTAAAAAATTGTTTGGAAACTTAACAGACATATGTAACAGTTTACAGCCAGATTTCTTTTTTGTCACCTCTCTGAAATGCAATATATACATGGCTACTAGATTCTACAGTATTGGCCACATTGGCTACAGCCAGAGCCGATGTTCAACACTTAATCATCATCTACAGTACTTAGGATAAACTGCAACAAGCACCTGTTGTCATACAGAAAAGTGCCAGGAAAGAACTGATTGGCTAACTTGATTGATGCATGTCATTGTGTCCAAATTTATAGACAGATGTTCATGATGTTATTCATGGGATCAGGGGAGGTGGGGTAGACTAGTGGTTAAGCGTTCGCTTGTCATGCTGAAGACCAAGGTTCGATTCCCCACATGAGTTCAATGTGTGAGGCCCATTTCAGGCATCCCCTGCCATGATATTGATGGAATATTGCTAAAAGGGGTGTAACCCCACTCACTCACTCACTCACTCACTCACTCACTCACTCACTCACTCACTCACTCACTCACTCACTCACTCACTCACTCACTCACTCACTCACTCACTCACTCACTCACTCACTCACTCACTCACTCACTCACTCACTCACCCACCCACCTACTCATGGGTTCATCTAGCACATACTCTACTATTTTAAGATGATCGTAATGTTGCTGGAATATTGCAACATTATGTAACAAGCAAAACACAAAGAAACTAAACCAATCTTCGTCCAGTTACAAGTAAGGTTGTCCAGCAGTTGACTAAATATAGCCATGACATCATGACAGAGCCAATTACAGGTAAGATGAGGACTAATTACAGGTGGAGTCAGGAGTCTTCTTGTAACCAATAGTTTATCAAGACATAGTTACTTCCCTGTCAGAAAATGCCATTAACGTTGGTAGGCTTCCTTGATCAAATTTCACATTAGCTTTCAATCAGACCGAGTCGACTATATGTGCCAAGCCCTTTTGTTATTGAACTGCCATGTTGATGATGATGTGTAATGCTGCTGTGGCTACCGTCCATGTCATTGAACTGGTGAAGGATGCTTGAGGAAGTTATTTGATAAACCTTTAGCTGTAGAAAGATGGGATGTCCTTGAAACTGTAAAGATGGTGTATGAATCTGTAGCAGTAAGGGCCTCTGTGATGGAGTAAGGTATGGTCTTGTTGTTTCATTCGTGTGATAAACTTGGTGACATTGACCGGAGCAGGTGATACACTATGTCTGGCACACTGTGGGAATCCAGGCCAAAATGACATAGTTAAAGTTTTTCATGTACACTTAGGCCTTGACTGTATAGTGGGTGGACTTGTTTCAGAGGTGACTGAATGTGTGGCCTTGGCAAGTGCCGCATATGCTTGCTCTTGAGCTGGCAAATTGTGTATTTCGGTTGCCTTGCTATCCCTATGGGTAGCTAAAGGGGTATTGGGTGGCCTGGTCCAGTACCTCATGCTTGCCCTAGATGTGACAGATTGTGTATTGGATGGCCTATCCCAGAAGCCAATGCTTGTCCTAGAGTTGACAGAATGTGTATTGGGTGGCCTAACCCAGAACCAAATGCTTGCCTTGGATGTGTCTGAATGTGTATTGGATGGCCTCATCCAGAACCCCTGGTGATGCTTGCCTTGGATGTGTCTGAATGTGTATTGGATGGCCTAACCCAGAACCAAATGCTCGCCTTGGATGTGTCTGAATGTATTGGATGGCCTAACCCAGAACCCCGTGCTTGCCTTGGATGTCTCTGAATGTGTTGGATGGCCTCATCCACAACCCCTGGTAATTGATGCCTTGGATGTGTCTGAATGTGTATTGGATGGCCTAACCCAGAACCCCGTGCTTGCCTTGGATGTATCTGAATGTGTATTGGGTGGCCTAACCCAGAACCCCATTATTTCACTATAGGTGACTGAATGTGTATTGGATGGCCTCACCCAGAACCCCTGGTGGTTGCCTTGCTTGTACTATAGGTGACTGAATGTGTATTGGGTGGAATGTGTATTGGGTGGCCTCGCCCAGAACCCCATGCTTGCACTATAGGTGACAGAATGTGTATTGGTTGGTCTCACCAAGGAGCCCATGCTTGCACTGTAGGTGACTGAATGTGTATTGGGTGGCCTTACCCAGAACGCCATGCTTGCCTTGGATGTATCTGAATGTGAATTGCGTGGCATTACCCAGAACCCCATGCTTGCCCTAGATGTTTCTGAATGTGTATTGGGTGGCCTTGGCAAATGCCTCATGCATGTCATACAGTTGACCTTTGTTTCCCCTTTATAAGCTAAACACGCTGTTGCTTGTCTTACTTGCACATTTCTCTCCTCTTATCTACTACAGTTCAGGTACAGTGTTACTTGGGTGATATGATGTGGAACTGGTGTTTCTATGATATCTTCAGAAGTCAAATTCTTCCTCAGGTCCCTTCGAATTCAACACAAGAATGTTCATCTTTGTGTTGTAAATACTGGGAGACAGGAGTTATAATCTTCTCTTTTGTTGTTTCAGTCACAGAGATTTGAAACCAGAGAATTTACTACTAGATGAAAAAAATAACATTCGTGTTGCCGACTTTGGTATGGCGTCATTACAGGTGGAAGGGTCCATGTTGGAAACAAGTTGCGGGTGAGTCCATTATCTCATATGTATAGAATGCACAATTATTTCATGATCTTACATTTCAACATAGAATATGGTCACTTTCTCTGAAGGTTGTTTGTTAAACCACATTTAAACTTTCAGATGTCAAGATTATGAATTTTGATTTGTTGGACTTTTCTGGAAAAAGGCTGACTAGCCTGATAATGTTAGATGCCAAGGGGAACAGGTGACTCATTCTGAAGTTCCACAATCTACAATCATGGGTTTGAATCCTGGTCCGCCCCTATTACTCTCTCTATGTGTGCCACCACCATACCTGAAAACATCCACGACCAACATCACTATAGGCTTTCATCCCATATCAACCTGACACACCATGGTATAACTGTAATAACTCACTCTGGTAGGTGTGCCACATCCATACCTGAAAACATCCACCACCTACATCACTATAGGCTTACATCCCATATCAACCTGACACACCATGGTATAACTGTAATAACTCACTCTGGTATGTGTGCCACAACCATACCTGAAAACATCCATGACCTACATCACTATAGGCTTTCATCCCATATCCACCTGACACACCATGGTATAACTGTAATAACTCACTCTGGTATGTGTGCCACCACCATACCTGAAAACATCCACGACCTACATCACTATAGGCTTTCATCCCATATCAACCTGACACACCATGGTATAACTGTAATAACTCACTCTGGTATGTGTGCCACAACCATACCTGAAAACATCCATGACCTACATCACTATAGGCTTTCATCCCATATCCACCTGACACACCATGGTATAACTGTAATAACTCACTCTGGTAGGTGTGCCACATCCATACCTGAAAACATCCACTCAATTCAGAAATGTTTATTCTAACATAAGAATGTGTTCCTTCATCACCATGAAACTGAAGAAACGACATTTGCTAATTTAAAACACAATCCTCAGTGATAGTCACCTGTGGACTTTATCATTTACATTTAGAACTGTCTGTTTAAGTTTGTTTTTGAGATACAGAAATCAGATGTATTACTGTTGTCCTACTGTGAATTGTTTTCTCTGCCATACCAAGAATTTAAAAGCCTTGACTGAATGGCAGACTTGGATGTTTCCTGAATGCAGTGTTCATGTGAGGATGAAGTAGAAGCTGTGGTTTTAATGTGGTTGTGCTGAAACTGTGTATTCTAGAAGCTCAGTGTCACCTTTGTGATTGATCGGCAAGGCTCAATTTGTTTAATTGCTGATGTATCCATCAACATTTTATTTCAAGAAAATAATAAGAGATATTGATAATTATCGTGAAGTGAGCTGCTTCTTCACAGAATAACAATGAAGACCAACTTTTGGGAATGTATTTGAAGGCACTGATCCATTTAGATGATCAAATATTATCTTTTGATCATGTTGAATGGCTGCAGTTCATGTGGGATTATTCATCAAAGGCCGTCTGTAATGTTATGTTTGTCATCTTAAGAATTATTGTGTAGAATATGCATGAGTTTGCTAGTAGGATGCCAGGCGGTTGGTTAGCCTAGTGGTTAAAGCGTTGGCTTGTCACGCTGAAGACCCGGGTTCAAATCCCCACATGGGTACAATGTGTTATGCCCATTTCCGCTCTCCCCAGCTGTGATATTGCTGGAATATTGCTAAAAGTAGCGTGAAACTAAACTCAATCAATCAATTCTAGTAGGATGGGGTATTGTTCACAGACAACATGCTGTTGTTTTGCTGCTTGCAGCATTCAGGAACAAAATGAGTACATCATCAATTCTAGAAACAGGATCAGGATTTCAGCAAAAAAATGAGGGGTGCACATTGTAACCTTGTCAGATGAGGCTGCCGTTAACATGTAGTATGTCTGAAAGAAAGTAGGTTCACACACTCTGTACCTCCTTCTGGATCCACCAAGAACATTTAAAACATAAACAAGTTTGTTTTGTGAAGAGAAGAGACTTTTACTCTGTCTTTATTGATCTGGTTGTATTTGATAGAAACTGTATCTACCCTGGTAGTGTCAAATGAAGATATATCCTTGTTCAGTGAGTGATACCCATTCTCCTCAGACCTCAACACAATGTAGACATGCCTGCCACATATCAAAAGTGACCGTGCCCCTTAAGACCAGGTTGTAAAATGACTTACAACAAAAACAACATCTGTTATCTGTTCTGAATGATTCATTTGTGTATCAGAAGATGTTTCCTCCAGAATTGACAATCAGATAAAGGATGTTTTTGTAGATATTTGTGATTATTTCAAGAGAAATGGATTGCCTGTTCGCAATGAGTGTGCCATAACTCTGGCTTACAGCGAGGCCTTGGCACATATAAACTGTTTTCCCAGTGAAGAGCTAATTGGTTTGAAATGGAAACAAGTTTGGGCAATTGTCAGGCAATAAAGTGTCCAATTGATCTTGCTGGAATCTGTGTCAGCGGCATCCTGTTGTCTGTCACGATAGGAGTACAAGCTAAACAACCCTCCACGCATGTCGATGTGGCTTGAAACATCATTGACGACTCCAGTAACCCTCTGGGTCAAGAACGGTCCTCACAAATCCATGCTCCTCATAAGAGGCGATTCCATAAACATGTGGTAGGACTTGGTCACGTAGCTGACAGGTCATCATATCCCAAAGAAGTAAACAGCATGTTATTTGACAATGAGATCAAAGAAACACTGTACTTGCATACTAAGAAGCTACCTGTACTGTACTACTGAGGTAAAGTCTGTAAACATAATTCTGGGAATAAAAACATGAAAAAAAAAAATGAAGTGACCACTAAAAAAAATAAAAAAAATAAAAAAATATCCCAATGAAGTAGATCGATGCTCATGATGTCAATCCCTGAACCTTCAGGTCCAGACACAATTATTTACCGACCGCCGTTATACAACTGGAATATTGCTGAGTGCGGCGTTAAACAACCAATAAACAAATGTAGTATCACAATATTGAGGAAGGTTGAAACAGAATAGGACATTGATAAAGATAATATTTTTTATCATGCAGTGAGTGAATTTAGTTTTATGCCACACTCAGCAATATTCCAGCTATATGGTGGCGGTCTGTAAATAATTGAGTCTGGACCAGACTATCCAGTGATCAACAGCATGAGCATCTATCTACGCATTTGGGATACGATGTCATGTGTCAACCAAGTTAGTGAGCCTGACCACCCGATCTCATTTGCCTCTTACGACAAGCATGGGTTACTGAAGATCTAACCCGGATCTTCACGGGTATTTTATTATACAGTGCTGCCTATATAGAGTGCAGGTTAGAATGGTCAATGCTGATCTTGTTCATCAGATACATAGGATCAGGTTTCCAGGCAGCCTGGATCATGTTGATGTTTGGTACAGACTCATTTGTTACAGACTGCCAAGATGGAGGTGGAATATTGATGAATGGTTTGAATTTATTCAAACTTGTTGCTATTTTCCCAGGAGTTTCTTGTTTCAAGGTAATAAGGACTATAAACAAATATAATTTGTCTGTTAAAGAAACAAATTGAAATATGAAAATGTCTATGTAAAATGTTATACTGTTTCAAATTTTGAGGGGGTGGTGGGGTAGCCTAGTGGTTACAGCCTTCGCTCGTCACGCCGAAGACCCGGGTTCGAATCCCCACATGGGTACAATGTGTGAAGCCCATTTCTGGTGTCCCCCGCCGTGATGTTGCAGGAATATTGCTAAAAACTCCCTCATTCACTCAAACTTCGAAGAATGTGATATACAAGAGTTGTGTTCATAAATACTAGTTATTATTACAGTTGAGTCTACTTAGAAAATGTCAATTATTTATATTATTAATCTGTTGGTATTTATATAAATGTTGATGTTGAGTTACCACTGATGCTGACGCAACATAAAACTAGCTTCACAATTTCCATCCATTTTTTTAAAGAAATATGACATTCAATCAAATATCTTGTAGATCCATCAGTTTTGAACACATCATCTTGCATAAATCTGGTTAATGATTTAAGAGCTGAAGGTATTTGATGATAAGGGGGTTTCAACATCTCGCTGACATCTTGCTAACGTCTCACTCGAACCTCGTCCTGGCATCAGGTATTTAGACAAGTAGAATGCAACAGTTTGCCTCGTATATCTTCAAGATGTATCCATCAGCACATCATGTCTCATCCAGTCGCCCCTGTTGCCTGTGATGATGGAGACTTGTGTAACAACATCCGCGGGATGAAGGACTAGTATCAAGCACAGTCCTTCACTGCAGTGTGAAGAGACTGTATATGTTACAGTGACTATGTAAAACCAGGGATTATGTATAATGTCTGATTCACTCAGTGATTCTACATAATTTTCAGGGATTATACATAATCACTGAAAAACAGACTAGAATTTTAGACATTTTCCCTGAAATCACCTCTTGTGTAGGTCGAAGAATATTTCTTCCAAAAAGGTATGGAATCAGTTTCAGTTAGTATCCAGCTGAGATCAAATGGCCCATTAAGCACGGAGGAAATATGTTTGTTTGTTTTGTAATTCTGGTAACTGTAGTAAAACTTCCTTCTTACTGATCGTGAGAGAATTTGAGATTGACTCATTTGAGGGCAACAATGCATCAATACCTAGCTGAGATCCAAGGTTTTACATATTCACTGTAACATATACGTGATGCTGCACACTACCAGAGATAAATCTAGGCCCAGAGATTGATGATTAGGGAAAAATAATGGATATTCCTGCAAAATGTGGCTTTAACAAGGGATAAACACACCCAAGTATGAGCTGTCTTGCCATTTTGGTTGTGACTCATGTTCTTTTAAAGCTCTCTCCAGTGATACACAAATTACCTATTGATATATAATGTAGATAGTTGTTACCTATGAGCATGACAGTAGAGTTGTGTCCCTTGGGCATACCAGGATCCTATGATTCGTCTGGACTATGTTCCTGGGTCTGTCAGCACTATGCATGTGCCTGTGGGTTTCAAGTGGTAAACTTCTACAATCTCTCAGAGCTTTTCTCCCTCGTCAAG